TTTAAAAGAAAATATTTTTAAAATATACATAAAACATCTTTAGGGAAAAAGGGACTAAACTACATGGATATTAACAGCAGTTATTTTCATTCTTCCTAATCTTTCTATAATGAGTAAATGCCACTTTTATAATCAGAAAAATATTATAAAATTGTAATTAGAAAATAGTAGCTGACCTAACAGATAACAATTAGGAACAAATGACCATGCATTGAAATAATGGACAGTAAAGAACCCAGCAAGATGATTCATATTGGCCTACCATGTTGGGCTACAAGGGGCCTTTTAACCACACACAAATAATAGGCATGAAGGGTTCCTCAGAAAGATTTTCAAGACTGTCACAAAAACTCAGTGTCATATACTTTCGGTATCTTGTTACAACCATAAAGATAAAGAAAATAATCTGGGTACACTGGTAACAAGGGAAAGGGAAAATTAGTAGTACTTCATCGATACCCATGTAGAATTTATAGCCACATATTCAAATAAATGCCATCATGAATAATTGAAAAGTTGACTCTCCATGTCATTTTGTTTATTCACATGTAAAACAGGTCAGAGTCCATTAAAATAAACTTAAGGAGATACACGTACTCCACATAATGTCCTGATTATACCAGAATCTCACTGAGAACATCAAGAAGTGCTCATAACCAGGGCTCTGCCTGGGAAGTAGAAGTATATTCATTATTTACCAATTTTTCTTGTAGTCCTATTTGACCTTTATCTAATTCCCTTTCTGCGAGTCAGTCTCATAGCTCTGGGCTTGAAATAAGCAGCATGAGTCCAAACTTTAGAATTTGGTATATTTACTTTTCAGCTAATAGAATTTTAAAACTCATAATCTGTTTAGGAAAATAAAGAAACCTTTTTCAGGCCCTGAGCGTCCTGCTTGTCTTTGTTTCTATGTCAAGTGCCAAAGCACAGTGCCTTGTAGCCACAGATACTACTTACTAGGTATTTGTTCAAGTGAATTGGCCCTGCCACACCCTGTCAAGTGAAAAATACTCTGAAACTGTAAGTTTGAAGTTAGTTAAGTGTAAAATAAATTTAAAATGCAACCTCTGATGTGATAAAATTTCAGAAATCATTTCAATAAGTATTTTAGAAACTAGAAATCAAGTCATAAAATTGAAGATTTAGCATTGCATTAAGACAGCATCCTTTATAATCTGAATGAATTAGTAAAATAAATTTGAGAATATATATCATTAAACCAATCCATGAGTAATATTACATAAAATGTTCAATATAAATAAAACTTGAGTGGGACCAAAATAATTACTTCCAAATAAATTCAAGTCGGCAATTTACTGAGTGTCTACTATGTGCACTATTCTAGGATCTAATAAATAAGATACACAAATAGTACTCCCAGCGGAAATTAACTTAGAATTAACTAGAAAATAAACAATAAGCCTGCTACCTCCTAATTTATAACTGGTTGCTTAGGAAGATAACAGGACTTAGAGATGATCTAATATTACACAATGATCCAATCTAGCACATCTTACGTTAAATGGCTTTTGAAAATAACTTAATGTGAATTGGTTTGAAAAGGGTCTCTGATGGAGGAAATGGCTTTGATGGCTACTTAGATACCACAAAAGCACAGCATCAAGGCATTTCATCATTAGATCCAAATTAGCTGGATGACTCTGAAGGTTTCCTAGGTGCTTTACAGAAGTTGATCCTTAGAGACATGCTGATAGCTGTGACATTCTTCCTTTTTCAATCTTTGATTCCACAAAGTTGGCTGCTTTACAGAATGGCATTAAGTAAGAGGCTAAGGGGGTGAGAAACATCAAGCCTCCAGCTGATTGCTCATGGGACAAGTAACAGCTATAGCCATCAAGCAGTGACATAGTTAGAACAACATCCCAAGGAAAGGACTTGGACAAAGAGCTTTAGTCAATAACAGCAGAGAAATCAAGTCACATCCCTCCAGTATACAGCAGTGGCAAGTACCTTTCTGTACCTGTGTGCCCCATACTTGAGAACCAGTATTAGAACTCAGGTGCTGACACAAAGTGTATTCCTTGTGATAATAGTTCCTTCATATCGATAATGTTACAAAAACTGGAATTTGATATTTGAGGAATCCCATCCCATGTCAATTTTCAGGGCAGCAAAGTAGTAAGTGAAAACATTTAGAATTGTTGAGATACAATTCATCAGCTGTAAACATTATACACTGCATATATATATATATATATATATATATATATAAAGATTTATACCAAGCTAACAATACACAAATTTAGTAAAATCATATTTTTCCAGTAGTTAATAGGATGATCTAAAAAGAAGATAATTAAATTTAGTCTTCATTCCAACTAAATGTAAAATAAAAAAATAAAGGCAAAATACAATGCCAAACTAGAATTTTAACTTGTAAAATCATTTTAAACAATCTATTTTATGGCAAATAAAAGCAAGGATGTTGGAATAACTTTATGAAATTTTTTCAAAATCAAATGGGAATTTTCTCCTCTTTTTTTTCCTCCCTTTATAAGTCAAAAGAGAATCATAAATCCTATTCAATCTTGTTTTAGATGTAAAAAAATTACCCAGTTTTTTTCTTTTACTTCCAAGAGAATCTTATGTTCAATAAAGCCTAGATCAGTAAATAACATTTCCCGTGTGCATAAAAGATTGTCATTTGTATGAAAAATACCAATATTTCTTTTTAAATGATTATGAATATGAAGAATATGGTTTTTTAAAAAATAAAAATTAAAAGTTAGGATATAATAGGCATTACTTGATCATCATTAGTCTTAGACATACAGTAAAAGATAATCCACAAAACCAAACTAAACTGCCACAGCTTAAATGGGCCCATCCCCATCAGGAACCACTGCTGTCACTGTCACAGTTTGAGGAAGATGTGAAGCAGATCCTTCAGTGCAGCTGCCAAACTTAAAACATACTCATTCTTACGATTCTCCTGTTTTTATGTATGAGTTTAAAAATGAATTTAATTTTAAAAGATAGATTTTTAAATTCTTGGTATTGCCAGGTATCTTAATTTTTTCCAAGTTAGTGAATGAGATACATTATCTCACTATAGTCTTACTTCCTTGATTATAGCTCTTCATAGGGATATCAGTCATACCGCATTCTTCATTAAAAGAATTATTCAGGAAAAACATTCCAATCCCATCCTCATGTTGCTCAACTCTAAAGTTTCTATAATATGTATAAAGAAAGCACAAATAAGGGCCAGGGATTTAGCTCAGCGGTTCTGCCACCTGCCTTGCAAGCACAAGGACCCGAGTTCAATCCCTGGTACCAAAAAAAAAAAAAAAAAGAAAGCACAAATCCTTTGCTGTGTTCCAAGTTATCTTCTGCCAGAATGAATCCTTCAGACCACTGCTACAAGTGCCTTCACAAAAGGGTGCTGAAATTTAAAAATGGTGAGTACAAATTAAATTTCCCACAATGCTTTTCATGTGCCCCATAGGTGACAGTACCTCTGTTTTTAATGATAGTCCACTGTTAAAAAATATTGTCGCAACAGCAATGTAGGATACAGTTATTTCTGGCTTCAGTGGCCCTAAAAAGAGAGAAATGAATGACTATTAGAAAAGAATATTCATTATGAAAGAAGAATCTATTAGAGGAGTGAATGGTACTTTAACTAGTCTTGCCCCTAGGGTCCTACAGTCCTGAGACAGTTAAGGATTTGTTGTGCTGCAGCCTGGTTCCAGGGAGGATTTTCCAGAAAGGGTATGGCTAAGAATGTGTGGTTCAGCACATTATCCTCAGACCAGAAGAACAGGTAAGCAACAGCCTTCACCATAGGTCCTAATTACACCTACCATGGTATCACTACTGATCACAAAATACCCTCAAATTCAAATAAAAGAATCAATGGAAGAAGTCCCTTTCTCTAATTTAGCAAATATCATTTTATTTCTTCTAGGATAACAGAAATAAAATAGTCATGCCCACATTCAGTTCTGCTCAAGAGTATTGATTATGAACTGAGCACCTTGTATGTGAATGAATACTGCCTACAGAATACTGTACTTAGTAATAATTTGCTATGATTTCAAAGATTCAGTTATGCTAGGTCCTGGGGACTCTGTGCTGAACCAGATAGGCCTGGTCCTTTCCCTCCAGAAAATCTTCTATAGAGTTGGGCAGGTATCACTGCACATGTATTAATGCTGTAAGAATAGGGGTCACCCTGATATTTAAAGTATCATTTGTGGCTCGTACATAATCAGCTGGAAGACATAACATACTAACCCAAGAACAAGAGTCTTTTAAAGGATGCAATTCTGAGAAAATGCCATTTTATACCTATGAATATTAGCTCTCTAGCAATGGAAATTGTGCCACCTAATGATATCTGGCAATATTTGGAAACTTTTTGTTTAACCTAACTCTGGGTGTAGGGTATGCTACTAGCATCTAGTGGGCAAAGACCAGGAATTCTCCTAAAATCCTTGGAGATACAGAACAGTCCTCCAAAAACAAATTATCATGTCCAAAATGTCAACAGCACCCAAGCTGAGGAAACTTTCTGTTACTCAACATTTAAACATCTGAGATCATCTCATATTTGATATTCTATTCATCCTTTTTGCACAGAACTGAGTAGTATCTCCTAAAAATTCACGTCTATCCAGGAATCCAGAACCTATGAAAGTGAACTTATTTGGAAACAGGATCTTTGCAGACATAACCAACTTAAGATGAGATTTAGGTGGTTATTAATCCGATGACTTATGTTTTTACACGAGGGAAATTTGGACACAGATACACATACAAGGAAGATGGCCTTGTGAACACACAAGCAGAGACCAGGATTATAACGCCACAAGCCAAGGAATGCCAAGAATAGCTGCAAACCAGTCGCGCGCGCGCGCGCGCGTGTGTGTGTGTGTGTGTGTGTGTGTGTGTGTATTGCTGGGGAATCAACCCAGGGCCTTCTCACTGCACTACATCCTTAGACCTTTTTATTTTGAGACAGGACCTCACTAAGTTGCTAAGTTTCCTAGGCTAAGCTCGAACTTGTGATCCTCCTGACTTAAGCTCCCAGAACACTGGGACTACAGGTATGTACCAACATGGCCAGGTTGGAGAACATCTTGACTTTGGATTTCTGGCCTCCAGAACTGTGAAAGAATAAATCTCTGTTGTTCTTTTTTTTTTCCCCAATTAAGTTTATTGGTACATTTTAGGTATAAAATACATTCATCATTGGGATCTTGTACCATTACATGATGTATCTTGGTTCTTATTTTTTCCCCATTCCCCTGCCCTCCCTTCACCCTCTCAACCCTTGCCTATTTGCAAAGACCTTGTTTCTATTTTTTTCCTTTTCTCATATTTTTTCTTTTCCCTTTTTTCCTTTCCCCTACCCCTCCCACTTCCCCTGCTCCTTTAGATCTTTTCTTCCTATTACACAATATCAACTATACACTTTTTAAATTACAATATCAGTATCTAGGAGACAATACCACAGATTTTACAGAATTTAAAAGGATATAGAATGCATATTACAAAAATCTTTTTTGTAAATTTGACAACTTCTAAGAAGTACTTTGGAAGACAAATTAACGAAACTAACTCTGGAGGAAATATAAAATTTGAATAGCACCTATTAAAGAAAGTATATTCCTAGCTTGAATACCTACCTATATGACAACAGCAGGCTCATAAACATTTTAACTGATAAATTATATCAAACAATTAAAGCAGAAAAAAGAAGG